AAATAAAGATTGATGACATGATTGTGCACATTTTTTTAGGTCTCGAGAGTCTTCAAATTTTGAAGGTCTTTTGAAATCAACAATGTCCCAATTCACACTTTTGGAATACATTACCTCTATAACACACAAGCTTCATTGATAAAACTTTTTCCATTTAGTCTTTTTTTTCCAGAACAGACTGAAAACAGATAGTTATATTAAATACCATTCAGTACAGAGTGTACATACAGTTAGTTACAGCCAGACTCTGTGATTAGCACTGTCTATGTTTTTTTAAATCATTTTTACCCAGTGTCCAGTAGGCCAGAATCAGTCTCAAACTGTTGCAACAAAAAACAGCTAAAACAAAAGACACAGAAGCTACAAAGATCCTGCAGTGAAAGTCAGCACTCCTCTTCTCACAATTTTCTCCCACAAAATAAAAATGACTTTTTTTCCAACTTTCAACTGTAAGCTTGTCTTTTATTCATCCATCCCCGGAGACTTTAAAAACCAGGCTTTGCTGATAAGCTGCAAAAATCAGGAGTCTTTTCACATGGCCCCACTACACTTGTGTTATTTTTATTGCTGGTTGACAGGTGTTGCCAGTCCATTGTATTTTGTTACAAGACATGCAAGTATGTAGTTCAGGAGAAGTTTAGACTTAGGCCAAATGAGAGAAAAATCCCACTTCATGTTATTTACATTAAAGCAACAGATGGCAAACCCTCCAGTAAAAAGAGACAAACTCGTTTCAACGACAGAACTAAGTCGAGGCGTCCCTCTCACCTTGTCATCCTGAGCAGCAGCCCTTCTAGAAACATGATGAGATCTGCGGTAAAGAGATGATTTGGGCAGAGGAGGAGGAGGGGATGAAGAACAGGGCTCATCCTCCTCCACCTCCTCCAACACCACGATACACACACGGCTAGCCCGTTCGGACCGCATCAGGAACAGACACTCATACAAAACACACACGCTCACACACACATAGATACACTGTGTTCTTTTTACATCTGTGCGCAGTCCTGTAACACCAAGGTCAGCAAAGGATCCCATAAAAAGTGTTTTCCACGTGAACAAACACTGCACATCTTCACGTAAAATCCAAAGTGAGATCCAACCCTGTCCTCTGTCTGTCGCCTTGCAGCTCCTCTCTCTAACCCACACTCACACCGTCTGTGAGAAGCGGCAGCGGAGACAGCAGGGAATTCCTCTGCGTAATGGTGGCGGTAGGAGGCATGCGGCAGAGCGAGCCCGGGCTGCCCGGCAGCCCACAGGAAGCAACATATCCTCAGTGCTGAAGCTGCAGCTGGGAACGCACACACAGACTCTGCGATTAGCTCAGACGGGGCAACAGCACTCAATGTATGTGTGGGAAGGCATCGCTCATTTCAGCCAGACTGCTGACTCTTTCATAAAAAGGAGGAGAGGAACAGGGGGAGGGGACTGAGAGAGAAAACGAAAGAGTGATACATAACTGTAGGCAGGTATCCAGAGTAGGGCTGCCACAAACAATTATTTTTATAATCGATTAATCACCGATTATTTTTTCGTTTAGTCGACTAATCAGATCATGTTAATTGAATATAAAACATACAGCTTATCGCGCCAGACTGCAGCTGCTATTATATAACCATGGTTAGATTTTAGCTATATGCTAACTAAAAATAATTGCTGTGGAAGGCGAGTTCTGCTCTGCAGATATTGCACAGGTTTCTCTTTCATTTTCTTAAAATGATCCCACACTTTAGAGCTCTGTTGCCAGGTAGCCATGATACCAGAGCCTGTCTGTATAATGTCTTGTGACGTCCACGGCCTACCCCAGTTACCMCTACTGTGCATGTGTGTCAAGGACAGAAAGGCAGATGTGGCAGTGGAAGGTGTCAAAGCAGTTTGRAGAGAAAAACAAAGTAAAGAACAAAAAAAAGGGAAAACGATTAATCGATTATTAAATTAGTCATCGATTATTTTAATAATCGATTAGTCGTCGATTAATCGATTAATTGTGGCAGCCCTAATCCAGAGCCTCAAAGGACTCAAAGAAATGGAAAGATGAAGAGAGAAACTGAAGCAATACGGTCAGTAATATCTCTGACAGATAAAGCAAGAATTTAAAAAAATCTGGAGTGGGAAACATCATAATAAAAAATATAGCAAAGGCTCTGTTTTGATAGAAAATACAGTCTTATTGGTTGATGCCAATCTACAAATTCATACAATAAATTATACTATTTTAACTAATAAAGTGAAGCTGTGAYGATTATTTTGTGAACACTGGTCCAAAATGTTACGTCCAGCAAACAAAAATTTATTTGTTGAGCACTTTCCCACAGTTTGGATATCATATGATTCATCTGACCTTCAGTACTAGTCTAGCAGAGATGTTTGTTATTGTACAATGACGCACAATATCAAACACTAAAAGGCCTTTTATATTAAGCTAATTGACCAGGCTTAAGGGCATCTTAAAAAGCTGTAATCAAAATGATGTGGTTAAAAAAATGTGCCTAAGATATTCAGTGCTCTCTCCTTTAACATATAAATAAAATGAATAATAAGTGTTGGTTCATGTCTGTGCCCTCTTTGGTTTACTGGTGGCAAAACTTCAAAAGAGCCTGTCTCATTATAAAACTGGATCAAACTGGCTATGCCAGAGAATGTGAGGGTAGCTAACAAGACCAGTCTGTGCGTGCACGACTGTTTGTGTGTGTGTGTGTCTCCGGCTCTTTCGCATTCAGCACAGATCCTAAAAGGAGCAGACTTGCCAGGCCACACAACCCCATTAACGCAGAGGGAGGAATGGTGCAACGGAGGGCAAACGAAAGAGAGAAGTGGATTGGTCTCATTCTGCAGCCGTAAACTTTGAATTTAACAGCTTCACCATTCAGGGAGTTAATTTAAAAAAAAAAGAAACTAAATATGATCCCCCAGACTGGAACCCTTCTATTACAACAACAGGCAATATGACATTACAATTTTACATCAGTGGCACAAACAAAAACACTGTTTGGTAAAGCAAAATGCACACCAACTATTCTGAGTATTTAACCAGCTAATAATAGTAGGCATYCATGAAGTAGCATTACAAAACCACAGCAACAGYCTGTCAACAAAAACTGAGAAAACATTGGGCCTCATGCAAAAACCGTTCGTACRCACAGATTTGTTCTTAAKTTGTGCGTAYGAGTGATTTAGGAGAATTTGTGGCATTCACCAATGTTTTCGTATTCTAAGATTTTTTTCAGATACGAACAAAATTCACGAGTGGTCCAGACCTGTCGTATATTTTACGAGCAGTCAGTCTGCTGTTATCCAGGCAGATTTTCCTCCCTAATAACTTTATATTTCGTTAGTTTGAAGATATTTTGAGTTGAAAATAAATCACACTCCATAATTATGTTGACAATAGGCTATTCTGCTTGAATTAGAGTTATAATTTTAAATGTAATAATTTAGACTAACAATATAAATCGTCCGTCTGGCTGTCCGGGATCGGGTCGCGGGGGCAGCAGCAAAGAGACCCCACTCTCCCCAGCGACACTTTCCAGCTCGTCCTGGGGGACTCCGAGACGTTCCCAGACCAGAGGGGATAAATAATCCCTCCAGTGAGTCCTGAGTTTTCTCCAAAGTGCCCGACTTATTTTGAAAACATTTTAAAATGCTTATTTCAAACCCGCATCTGAGACCACCTGCGAACGCGGGGGTGGGGGGTGGGGTAGTGCGGTGCGGCTTAGTTTTAGCAGCTCTTTTTATTCCACAGCTGACCTGCTAAAAATGACAGATTTTCTTTTCTGGATCTCTGACAGACGGACTTCAATCTCTGAACTCGTAAAGTTCTTCTTTTTAGTTTTCGCTGTCATTTTCATGAATGGACACTTCCTGATATCTGAGGCAGGAAATACAGCCTTATATGGTGTTTTTGGGGTGGTAATTATGCTAATCTCTCGCGTGCACAAGCAGCTGGATACGAACAGGTGGAATTTACGCAGCTCATTTACACACTTTTCCTGAAGATAGAAGAGTTTGTTGAATCTGAYGTGACATCTTCGTACGAACCCTTTGTACGAACAAAAGTAAGAGAAATTTAGGATAAGAATACGAACACRTTCTTGCATGAGGCCCAATGTTTGCCTGTTTGCACCAAGTAAACATTTTTAGTGCTTGTTGAGTCATAAATGAACTGAGACAAAAAAAAGGTAAACACAATCTAAACAAGGAGATGCAAATAAAATATRCTGAAAAACAATCCACTCTGACAGCTTCACAGAGAACCTAACATGACTGCGTGCTCGACGTGCGAGCGACCGCTCACAGGGTTAAACTGACCTCTGCTCTGACTGAGCGACAGGATGCAGTGGTGTGTGTGTGTGTGTGTAACTTTATCCCAGAACCGGAGCACAAAAGCCTGCACGTGTCAGCCAGTGTGCGTGTGCGCTGGCACACTCACAGTACTCCCACAGACAAGAGCAATGAAGATTCAAAGGCCYTTTAAGTTCAAGAGGCGGCCATTTTTAATCAAAGCTTTGCAACTGTGACACTATGTAGAACATGTATGCTTATGTCCACACTAAATTATGACAATATAGCTTTAACTTTTAATAAAAYGTACAACTTGTTTAGTCTGTTTACTAAAYTAYTGTATGGAGTAMAGTTTTAGTTTTTGTTTTGAGATTCTAAAGGCATCTACCTACTACGCTGTGTGCATATCACAGCACATATACTGGCGTGAAGAGTAAACATAGCTGTTTTCTTTGTATTTTCTGTTGTCCTTGTTGTTTTCCACTGGATCCATTATACTTTAGGTGTACTCAGATGCAATATCAATGTAAAACAAAGCAAATATCTAAATACAGGATATTTGTGTGTGGATTATTTGTCTAAGGCTTATGTAAGACATGGTCCCCAGCAAGCAAACATATAATCTGGGTGTATTTACATTATCATAACAGAGTTTTATGTTATCACTCTTTAGTATCAGTACACTTGTATGTTTCTAAGCAACAGGACACCCTCTAGAGGCCAAATAAGTGAAAAGGCTTTGCCAAAAAGCCTGAGAAGTTTGTCTCCAGTTCAGCCTCTATGAATGTAACTATTTTTGTCCTTTTGTCCATTTTCTATCAGCAAGCAGCAAGGATAACAATGAAGAATACAAAGCAGAGCCTAATCACAAACACTCCTCCGTCTATTCAGTGGTCAGTTCAGGATGGGCAACATAAGCTTCACAATCAGTGGCTCATTATGACACATTTTTAGCTTTAAAAACAGTTATTACAAAGTTTTACGACGGATGTACAAAATAAAAAAGAGACATTAGGAATTCTAATTTGATGATTTGATTTACTGAGGGATAACGAAAAGGTAATTTATTTTGCAAATTATAAACAAAGATTTAAACCAAATCACCTGAGCGGGGTCAATTATTTTTGCAATGTGTTATTARTGTTATCTTTATTTATCAGGAAAGTGTGACTTCGCAGAGACTTGAACTCCATGAGGGTACCACGTGAGGCACGGGTGTCCARTCCTGGTCCTCAAGGGCCACCATCCTGCATGTTCCACTTGTTTCCCTGTTCCATCATCAGTGATTGAATTACCTCTTCAAGTTCTGCAAAAGCATGGTAATCAACCATTCATTCAAATTAAGTGAGTTGGARCAAAAACAAACAAACCATACAGGATAGTGGCCCCCCCGAGGTCCAGAACTGGACACCCCTGGAACTTCTGCTCTTTGGCAGTCACTGATCCTTTGGGTTGTGTCTACACGAAGGCAGCTGTAGCCTTCAGATCAGCTCAAACACCACCTGCTATTTCAGTCTGACAGCCTTTCTTATCGTTTGCAACAGCTGAATAATCATCTAGCTTCAGCACAGACAACTGACAAAGCAGGACTCCCCACAGCAAAACACAAAACCGACCTGTTGTCTGATATTTCTGAGTTAATAAGAGTTGGTGAGAGTAAGTAGCAGAGAAAGTGTTGACTCTTATGAGCTTACAATTGGGAAGGAGGGAGTTAGCCATCCTAAACAGCTCCTAACCATCCAGCTTTGTCATCTGTACATCATCAAACAAACAAACAAACAAACAAAAAAAAAACATGATGTGCTACAGTCAAAAGCGCGAAAATGTCTCATTGCGTAACTGGGCAAACAGAACAAAAATAGACACGTTAGCGTCCTCCTTTGCGTTATCTCTGCTAATTCCTTTTACTTTTACCGCTAGCTAGTTAGCTAACATGAAATAACAGGAGSGATGTAACACTAGCTTAGCCTGTAGATGTTTACATTAAGAAAAAGGAAAAAGAAAGAAAAAGTCGTGGCTTTTAAAACCGAGGTTAGCACCAAAACCAACGCGACAAACTTGAATCCACGAACAAACTATTGTTCGTCAGTTCTTCGAGCTTTAGGTTAGCTAACCAGATGTTAGCTCGACGCGTTACCTTACCTGGTCGTGTATCTTCAACACAGCCATAGCCCTAAAAATACATAAAAGAAACAAAAGAGAGAGAGAAAAAACAGGCAGTGAGTAACCCGGAGTTACTGTAAAATAAGTACCCGGGGGGGAACTTAAAAAAAAAAAAAAAAGGGAGCAGCTCTCAGCTCACCCCCCGCTTCCTGTCAGGAATAAACCAAGGAGCGACACGGACCAGTCAAACTGGGAGAGTTCTTCTTCTTCTGTTGGCAAAAATGGTAGAAAACTTTTCCATCTTACATCTCTGAAAACTGTGCACAGACATGCTCAAATTTACAGTTTAGAATTGAGGTGTGTCAAACATGTTATCTACCCAAGATTTAATTAATTTTTGTGTATGTACAGACGCCTACAGCTCATAGTTTTAAAGGTAAAATGTTGTTATAAAAACTAATATTTAGACACATATTTAAATAAACCCTTTCCTGTATGTCAGCTTTATTA